GCCGGTGCTGTTTGGATCCTTCTGCAGACAGATAGCGGTGGTTGGTCATATAGTGCCTCCTGCCACAGGGCTGCAGCTGGTGGCACAGAGGGGTCTTCACAGAGCCCCCTGCCCTTCAGAGCCCTCCCCCGACAGGTACCAGATAGATGGCTTTGGGGGTTTGACCCGAGGGAGCCGTGGAGTTCAGGGTCCTTGCTGGTGGAACAGGCCCACCCGTCAGCAGCTCTGGGCCTCTGAAGAGTCTTGTTTTGGCAGATGGTGGTGTTCTTGGAAGTGTGGTAAATAAAGTTTGCAGTGTGAGTGGGGGTGGAGAGGGGAAGGCAGGAGGCTTAAAGCGTGGTAGTTGGTTAACCAGCCTGATTAATTTCTACACCGACCTGTAAAATAGGTTGGCAGATATGACTTGAGATCTGGGGTGTGAAGTCCTGAAGCGTGTGAGCCAAGGTCAGGATGTGACCTCTGAGTGGGTGGCAGATGGCAAACCTGGTGCCTCTCGTGTCCGGAATAGTCCTTGTAGCGCATGTTGGTTCCCTCCTGCGTCACCTCCAGTGTCCCAGTGTGATATCTCTGATACTGTTTGGGAGTGATGTGTTGGGGCCACCAGCCCCCTGAGATAAAGAGATCACTGCACTCCCACCTGCGTCCCAGGTGCCAGCAGCTGAAGGGTTACAGTGCACCCGAGGTCTGGTGAGTTCCCATGAGAACAGCCCAGGGGTCTGGCCGTGGTCTGACCAGGAGCCAAAGAGTCTGGAGGGGACGGTATGAGGGCACCAACAGGGCAGGGCAGGCAGCCTGTGCTGGGGGTGGACTGTCTTGCAGGAGGGAGAGAATGGAGCTGCTCTGGGCCCCAAAAGTCCATCAGCATTTTGGAAAGTAAGAGGATATTTTTTGGGGAGGAGGTGGGAGATGAAGGTGTAAAAGCTGGTGTCTAGCTACCTTTCTGACCCTCTAAGAAGCTCCTCTAATTTAGAAAGTTCTAGTGTCCCTGGGTTAAGGTGCTTGCCTGCTAACCAAAAGATTAGAGGTTCGAATCTACCCAGAGGTGCCTTGAAAGAAAGGCCTGGTTATCTATTTCCAAAAAATCAGTCATTGAAAACCCTATGGAGTGCAATTCTACTCTGATGCACGTGGGGTCGCCATGAGTCAGAGTTGACTTGACGGCAACTGGTACTGGTAGTGTCACTAAAAGACACCAAGATGGCCCTGTGTGCGTGAGGACTGAGCTTGGAAAATGCACTTGTGCATCTACCCCATCCCCACCCCACAGACGTGTAAGA